CCTGCTGTCTAAGTGAAGTAAACATAAAGCTGGTATTACCAACACAGACAGGTTTCAAGATGACTCTGCAGAAACCCGAACTGAGTGTTTAGGAGGAAACAAGGAAGTAAAAAAAAATCCAGTCCCTGACTGTTAGAATCAGAAAATCTATTTAAATCTTATGTGAAAAAAGATAACCACAATACACGGCAGTAAACGATTAAGGAAGGCTTTTTGAGTGGCAGGACTGGAGATGGCCCTCCTAGGATATGGAAGATTTACATAGGCAGAACGAGGAGGGTAGGCATCTACCTCTAGAGGAATTCTAGTCTGAACAAGGCACAAAGACTAGAAACTGCTGGGTCTTGTGTGTAGACATGTTTATAACTGTTGGAGAAGTGGAAAAAAATGGAACCTGAACATTTCCTGCATGCAATGAGGGAAAACAGTAAAAAATCGAAGTAGCCAAAAATAAATGTATGAAAATATAATAAGACTGTATTAATTGCTGCTTGATTGCTACTCTGTATAAAAAGATATCTTGGTAAAATGTCACCACCATGCCACGCTTAATGGTTTAAATGGGGAGAGACAGGAGTCTAGAAAACTATACTGGGGGCTTCACTCTTTTCAAAAGGGGTTAGCGACATAATAGAGTGTTCTTGGCTGCTTGTGAAGTTGTACTCATTTTATAGTCAGGTCCAATGTTAATAGTTTTGATTTTAAAACATGAGTGATTCTCTATGTATTGTGAACTCCTGCTAAGGGCAAAAAAGTCCTAAGTTAAAAGAAAGGATAGCGGTGCTGAGGGAACCCTGAAACATTACAATAAAGCATACACTAAAACCGTATGGGTATAGGTTGCACATGATAAGTCTCATTCTTACAAAGAACAATACTAGTATTTTTCATTTTATTTAGAAGACACAACTAATGCGTACTTGTTTCCAGGTTTCTTTCCTTCTAATGTATTTAGATGCTGTTCAAGGGTCTCCATAAGACTGCTGGGAGCCTATAATAAAAAAGTAAAAATAAATGTCTGCATTGCTTTTGTTCAAAGTAAACACACGGTAGTATCACTGTAACTTCGTATGGTGGTGGTCACATACTCCAATATATGTATGTGAGCTCATTTCACATGCTTTTAGTATTGAAATATTTCAAGTCCAGGGACTCTCAGTAAGGTCCATATTAAATACATGTGACTCTGCCATAAAACAAATAGCATTACAGTGTGCCTTCAGTGGAGAGATTACATTGGATAGACTTTTTGTAAGATATTACTCATACATAGCAAATACTAATCAGGTTTACCACCACCTTCCCATAAACCCACAGAGAAAAAAAGAATAGGTATTTGTATCCAGGTAAAAAATATAAATGTCCAAATACAAATGAACAGAAATTTGGAAATACAGTAAAATCTCACCCATCCATATTTGACTGATTTATTGGGAAAAATTGTTGCTACATTTAAAAAAGGGAGAGGTGAGAGTTGGGGAAAATACAATTTTAACAATCAATAACAAGATTTTCTTACCTAATATATATTTACAGCCATAATAAACTATAACAAATATAATGATGTCTTAATAGAGTACTATATATTGATAGATTTAATATATTATAGCATTTTTTAAGAGAGATTTTTGCTATAAGGGGTATGTGCTCACCAGAGAGACATAAAGTGAGAAAACACCCCCCAGGGAGGATAGCCATGCTACAATCCCTCCTCCTCCATTCTCCTCTCAGGATTTTGGGCATGCACACTCACGAGCTTGGCGTGAGTTTTAAGTCACCTAGTCTAGGACTTAACCCTGGAAGTCCAGCAACGTAACCATTATGCCACCTGCTGGTCTCAATATATTTCAACTCTTATTAAAATGTACTTAAAAGTTTATTTTTACAAATAAAATTTAGGCAATATAAAGTGATAGTATTTTACTGTATAGTAGAAGGAGAAATAATAGGTTTATACAAATATTACAACAGATCTATTCCTCAAGCATTAGAAAGTTAATTTTATCTTTCTTCAAATAATTGTATCCCAAACTAGACCTTAACAACAGCATAGGTATTCAAAGAATAACATTCCATGAATTAAATATATAAGGACAATTATAGATACATTTATTTCACACAATTGTCCATTAAATGAGTGTGAAATCATTTTTGGAGGACTTTAATTACACTAATGGCTAAAATAGCTCACAGAATGAAAAGAAATTAATATAATTATATTTTATATTGTACCTTTAAGAATTTTTAAATTTTGAAAGTTCAGGACATTTTATTTATTCAATATTCATTTTCATTTCATTAATAAACTCATAAAATGTCATAATAATTATATGATTATGGTAACATTAGTTTCTAAGTGAACCTAAACATGTAAATTCTTATACACAAATTACAAAATGAACAAAAATATTAAAGTGATGGAATTTGAGAAGAAAGGGACAATTCTTTGGTATTGTGTAAACAACTTTGGACTACAGAATTAAACAAATTATTATCAGGGAATGAAATGAGTTTAGAAGACCATAGAAATTAGAATTTTAAAATATAATTCATGTAAAAAAAATTCAGGTTAACAAATTCCAGTAAAGTACAAATAAGGGGTAGACTCTTAAGTTTTTGCTTTTAATTTTTGCCAGAGGGTGTGTGAGTTTGCTGGAGAGAGACAAAGAAAGTGAGAAAGCACTCCCCACGGGGGGTGGCCCCACAGGAATCCCTTATCCTCCATTTCTCCCTCCTTTCAGAATTTCTTTGGGCATGCACACACCACGCTTGGCGTGTTTTTCAAGCCAAGTCTGAGACTCGAACCATACAGTTGGCCATGTGGGATCACTACACCACTGGCTGGCCGGACTCTAAAGTTCAAAAACAATTTTTAAAAGAAAGATAAAGGAAATTTGTTGTATATACCATATTGTAAATGATAAATACTCATTTAATTAAGAATACACACTGTAATTTTAGAAAGGAAAATATATAGTTTCAAAATTTTTAGATTAATTCACACCTGAGAGACACTAAATAGAAACTGTCTTTTAAATTTCCAATGCACAAAACTTTGAGAATGTCTCTGCTATTGTAAAAAGAAGTTAAGATAGTCAAGTTTAACTAGCGGTGTCTTTAGTCGCTAGTTTTAAAAAATGCTGAAGCCAATGACTAGTTGGATGGAAACACCAAGCCGAAGAGCAAGAGTCAGTCCAAGAAAGCCAACACAACAACATATCACAGCTACCAATTTGTCAGTGGATGGTCTTTAAAAGGAGCCTTTTCTTTACTGGTAGTTTTCAGATCAACCAGAATTCCTGACATCAAAACCTAAAATATTTTTTTCATAAATGATGATATTTAAATTTACAATGTATACACCTAAAATAATAAATATAATATTTTTAAAAATTCTTTTTTGGAGAATGAATTCATAGAGATTATGAACCCAGAATAAAAAAGAAAGTATTCATTAACAATTTAAAAACTTTGGGTTATAAAGTATCATTAAAACCAAATTTTTAAAAAGTCAAGTGGTCATTCAAGAATTTTATTATCTAAGAAACTATTTGAAAATCCTGAAAAAAAATTCAGTTCTGAAATCATAGACACTTCTTACTCAAAATAGTATGTTTGCACTACTTTTAAATCTTTCATTGATATTCATGAATTATGGAAATGCAGAACTAACAGTATTATAGGCACAATTTGAAGAAGTGCTACCAATGGCTATGCATGTGTTTACTGTGCATTTTATAACCTAAAACATATCTATTACATTCATAATGGTATCCCTAAAGTTCATCTCTTCCATTTTGCTGCAAGAGGGATTCTAATCCTTTTATGTATGAATTTCTTGTTCCTACTTCCAGTCCATAGGAAGCCCTTCTGATTTCCATCTGTTCTTTCACCCTCTCCTACTAGGCATTTTGTTCATTGGCATGGCTAGATTCAGAAGCCATAGTGGCCACAGAGAAGCCTGGCAGAAAGCAGGCTAATCTCAGAGGAGCTGAACTAAGTCCACACAAACTGTGTTTCTGACTCGACTCCAGATTAATCCTGTTCTAACACCATCTGAAGGATGAACTCCAGGATAGCTCAGATTCTAGCTCAAACCTGACTGTACTTTCAGGGTGTGTCTAAATCTCTGCTTCGGATAAAGACCACCATCTGGGGAAGGGGCCCTAAATAAGAATTATGGAGAGTTTTTGGCTCCATCATGTTCATGTTCCCAGAAGAAACCACAGTTACGTTACTTAATAAAAAATTTCAGAAGTATCCCATGCTTTTAAACATATACTAGAAAACTGAAGTAAAAGGGTTTTTATATGAGGAGAGAATTTAAGAATAAATATTAACACTAAAGTTTATATGGCTCTTAAGTCATAACTACAGCAGAGGATAAAGTGCTACGAGACCATAATGAGTTTCTACCACTGAATAGCTTTCTGTTACACCAGGGCAAGATTTTACTTCCTTGAGGGTGGAGTCTCTGTTTCCCAAATTATGAAAATACCATCTTAAATCATTAGGTCTCTGGACTTCCTGAGAGGAGATTACATAAATTATAATGAATATTATAGTATCCTAAGAATTATACCAAAGGATGTAAATCCTCCTTTCAAGGGTATACTATCATTTCCTAATTATAAAAACAAAAAGGAATTTAAGTAGTCCTTTAAGTCTTTCCTCAAATGACCTATTTTCTACCTAACTGAAAGCCTCTTCTTTACAAAATTTCTAGTTTTTCTTATAATCCACAGTGAGGATTTAAAATGGGCTGTTTGCAGAATTTAAATAAAGATGATCTGCCATTTCTAAAAAGTATTCATCAAATTATTTTAATGTCTATGTTTTTAAGTTAACATGTATTATTTATTTGAGGTCTTTTGCTTTTTTTGAGAGATTTCTGCTATAGGGAGTGTGTGCTTGCTGGAGAGACAGAGTCAGAAAGTGAGAAATCACCCTCCCCCCCCAGGGGGGATGGCCAAGCTGCAATCCCTTCTCCTACATTCTCCTCTTAGAATTTTGGACACCCCCCCCAACACACGCCTGGCATGAGTTTCAAGCCATTGGGTTTGGGACTCAAACCATGTAGCCAGCCATGTGGGATCTAGTACCTTAACCTTCATACCACCTGCTGACCCTATGTGGGGATTCTTTTAAAAATACAATGTAAGTTTTTATTATAAGTGAATAATTTGAATAAAAACACTTATTTTCTTTGCTTCTCACTGAGTGTTAAAAACATAAATCTGTATCTAACAGAGAGCTGGTTAGTGGTACGGTTCCACCTATTAAGAGAAACTTACTCTCAATTTTTAAATTAAAAACCTACAATACCATCATGTTATGAACTGCTCGGTGAATTTTATTTATAAAGAGTTCTTGACATTTAATTAGCATTTTAATAATACAAATACAAAAGACCATTTCTTTGGGTCTCTTTAATTTTAAATGACAATTTAGGAAGTATTTTAAATATGAAAATATTTCAACATATTGTAAGGCTAACAAATTATTAAACACATTTTTGGGTTATTAAAAAGTGAGTATCTTTCATTATGACAATTTTCTTCTATTATGAAAACTGTTTTTACTTACGGAAACAGAAAATTCATGTATTCATTATTGGTATAGAAGACAGCAGCTCTATAACCTCTTCCATTTTCTCTACTACAATATTGCCTCTAGTTAAAGGACATGTTTGAGACTGAAACTAACCCTAACGCAATGATTAAATAAAAACAGTCTCTGCCAGGAATGAGAAAGGTCACTCAATAATTCTGAATCTTGATTCTCTGACTTTGATTCTATGTCATAGGAGATGCATACTATACTCTATTGCCAGGTAAAAGGATTGATAAGAAAACCTCACAATTGTTTTTGCTTACTAGATAGCCCCTGAGAAAAAAATCACTCATCTGCCACTACTACTCTTTGAAAAGAGGTTCTTCTATATCTAGAAATTCCCCCAGTTCACAAGGGAGACAAATATAAGTTCAGACAAACCATGACATTACAACTCTTCCCATCTGTGCCTTTCTTTCATATTGGGACACGCTGAAAACCAGGATGAGCAGAAAGAACAGTTCTAATGTTCTGATGTTCAAGCCTATAAATAGTCATTTTTTCATAGCTAAAGCACTTTTATCAACATTAGTCAAGGTTTCCTTTTGATACAAGTTTCAAGAATGAAAAGATGAGCTCAATTAATAAGTACAATGGCCTCTAAAAAAAGAAATTACATCATAAGGACAGGAAAATCTTGCTATTACTCTCAAATATATTCAATAGCTAGAAAAAAATTAAGTTAGAAAACTTCCTAAGAAAGTTGGCTACCCTAAATACAAAATTCATTAAATGTTTATAAGATTATGCCCTGAGTGGGACTATTTGTGACAATATATGGAGAAATAATTTTGTGCCTACTGAATCTTCCACTGAGAGAGTCACGTACCTGTGTGAGGTCAGGAATGTCACCTTTATCAATACCAACTTGCTGTGGATTAAAAATAAATAAGTTAATGGGATTAAAAAATTCCTTTACATTTAATGGAATATCACTCACAGAATTAGCTAAACTTGCTGTTTAATCTTGGCAAAAAATAAATTGTTATTGTATATTTCAGTCTCACTCTGAAAAGATGTTCTCTGTGCACTTTTCGACTTAATATAAAAGAGCAATGATTTCACTAATACAGTCGAATATAACAAATGTATAGAATTTTACCAGAACCCAGAAAGAAGGGAAAAATAAATTGAAGTATAAAATTTAAACTTTCTTCCATGGTTAATAGCAACTAAAAATGTAAGAAACTGCTTAGACTAAAGTTAAATAATTAATTGTGCCCAGAAAGGTTTCTGGACAGGAAATTCTCATTTAGTTTTAATCACTTGTTTAGGGTATAGGTGGAAACTACATCCTTTCTTCCACAGAAAGAACCAATTTGTTAGTTTATTAGATATTTTTCCAGAGTCCCTTAATATATATCCAAGGAAATATGAAATATATAAATATGTATTAATTTTCCCATTCTTACACAAACAACAGCATTGTTTTTGAGAGATTTTTGCTATAGGCCACATGCACTCAATGGAGAGATATAAAGAGACAGAGACAGACAGCAAGAAATCACCCCCCTAGAGGAATGGCCATGCCACAGTCTCTTCTCCATCATTCTCCTCTGGGGATCTTGGGCACTCATGCACACATACCTGGTATGAGTTTCAAGCTGCTGGGTTTGTGACTCAAACCACGGTCAGCCATGTGAGAATCCAGAGATGTAACCATTATGCCATCTTCTGGTCTCAACAATTGCATATTTTATGCACTGGATTTATATTTTTGCTATAGGGCACGTGCGCTCGCCAGAAAGACAGAGAGAGACAGAGAGATATAAAGCGAGAAATCAACCCACCCGGGGGAATGGCCACACTGCAATACATTCTCCTCCATTCTCTTCTCAAGATCTTGGGCATGCCCTCTCGGGATCTGGGGCATGCAAGAACATGTGCCTGGTGTGAGTTTAAGCCACTGGGTCCGGGACTCGAACCGTGGTCCACTACATGGGAGTTCAGCGACATAGCCATTACGCTAACTGCTGGTCCCTGGATTTATATTTTTAACTTATCATATTTTGGAGAGATACTCTTATCAATCCCTAGTGTCTTAATTTTTTAAACATTTGTATAGAATTTCTTTGTCCTGTAATTTAGTGAATCATCTTTTTTTATTTTCAAATTTATTTTGTAATTGACTTACTTTGTACATCTTTGTGGACTACAATATTGGCTTTTCAAAGCATGCATGCAGTGCGTGATAATCAAAGTAAGGATATTATCACATTTACATCTTCAGAAAAAAAATTACATTATGTTGTCATCTTTTAAGAGACATTATCATTGCTTCCAATCTCTTGCTTTTGTAAGTACTGCTGCACATACCATTTTGCATGTGTGTGTGAACAGACAAGTAGAAGTGTACTTGGTAAAAGCATACATAAATTGGCAATTTAAGTAGCATGAAGATGAGAGGAAGCAAGTACAGAAAAACATTAATAAAGGTAAATCAATGAAGAGAGGATGTATATGTAGGTGTTTGTTAGGCTACATCAATTCTTTTGTAGGTTTGAAAATTATTCACGATAAAAAGTTGGGGGAAATACAAATCATAAATTCCATTTTATCATATTATATAAATAATTAAATGGAACTCAATACAGATTAAACTTGGTCTTTCTCCTTGAGAAATAAAATGTTTTGATTATGCTGATGAAAATGTAGAAGCAAATACTTGAAGTGAAAGCACTGGGCCCCTACTGACAGTAAGGCAAACTGGAGCTTGGAAGGTCCACTTACGGGTCACATGCTTAGCTCCCTCCCGTCCTCTGCCCTGTCCCTATGCAGAGCAGGGTTCTCAGCCTTGACACTAAGTGGAATTTTGGGAGGATAATCCTCCATTGAGGGCTGTCTTATGCATCATAGGATGTTTAGCAGCACCCCCCTCTATACACAGGCTGCTAGTACCCACTCCTCCCCACCCCACAGTGCGACAATCAAAAATGTCTCCAGATGTTGTCTCCTGAGTACAACAACCACCACTCAGGAACACTGATCTACACCAATGGCTCTTATCTCTCTGGATCAAATTACGCTGGAACTCAGAATTCCAGACTTCACTTTCTTTCTTTTTTTGGAGAGGTTTTTGCTACAGGGTGCGTGTGCTCGCTAGAGACAGAGACAGAGAGACAGAAAGCGAGAAATCACCCCCCAGGTGGAATGGCCATGCCGCAATTCCTTCTCCTCCATTCTCCTCTTGGGATCATGGGCACACACGCACACACGCCTGGCATGAGTTTTTTTTAAGCCACCGGATACAAGGCTCGAACCGCGGTCGACTACATGGGAGTCCAGCGACATAGCCATTAAACTAATTGCTGGTCCCCCAGACTTCACTTTCTAATGACTGAACTCTAGATCACTTACAATGTTACGAATTATAGAAATGATAAATTAAAGCAATTTCATTCTACTTATTTCTATATTTTAACAGCTCTTTAGGTGAACCATTCAAAAATAATAATACAGAGAAATTTTTAAAATAAAAATAGTATGGATCCCTAATACCAGAACCATTTTGGTACAACGTGGTGTATTTCTATGAACTGAATAATTCACTTAAAGATACAACTTAGGGGACAAGCAGTTAGCGTAATGGCTATGTCGCTGGACTCCCATGTAGTCAATCGCAGTTCGAGTTCCAGACTCGGTGGCTTAAACTCACTCTGGGTGTGTGTGCATGTGTGCCCAAGATCCTAAAAGGAGAATGGAGGAGAAGGGATTGGGGCGTGGTCATCTCCCCTGAGGGGTGATTTCTTGCTTTCTGTCTCTCTGTCTCTCTCTGTCTTTTAGGCAAGCACACGCACCCTATAGCAAAGACACAACTTAGGAATTCTTGCTCAGCACTGCTATTTTTACTGCACAATGAAAATGAGAAGAATTGGGTTGAAGTGTATTACAGAAATATCATCTCTGTCTGCAAATATTCTGGGAGGTGTAACTCCTCCGACTCTGATATTTAACATAGAAGAACATACTAAGAATAACCTGGCTCTATAAAAAGAAAGGGTATTTAACAGAAATGCCTATTGCTTGTAAAACATCCATTTTACAAAGATTTAGTTGTCTGCCTAAGGTGACTTCAGTATAAGTATTCAAGATATGGTACGTTTTCTGTATGTCACATAATCCCTTTGGAAAATTTGAATATTTCCATAAAAATAATTCAGCTACCCTATACTTCTTTTAATATGACAGACAACTTATTGTTAATAATTGCCAAATATCCAACATATATATAATATGTGTGTCTGTGTATACACTTTTTTTTTTTTTTGACCAAAGGGTGCATGTGCTCACCAGAGAGAAACAGAGATGGAGAGAGAGGGAGAGGGACAAAGCAGAAAGTACTCCACAGTAGAGCTTGGTTACATTGCAATCCCTTCTCCATTTCTCCACCCTGTTGGAATTTTAGGTGAGTACACACACGTCTTGTATGTCTTCCATGCCACTAGGCTGAGATTTAAACCTCTCTGTGAGCCATGTAGGACAGGGTGCATCGCTCGCCAGAGAGACAGAAAGCGAGAAATCACCCCTCAGAGGGGATGGCCACGTTGCAATCCCTTCTCTTCCATTCTCCTCTCGGGATCTTGGGCACACACGCACACGTGCCCAGTGTGAGTATAAGCCACCAGGTTCCGGGACTCAAACCACAGTCGACTACATGGGAGTTCAGTGACACAGCCATTATGCTAACTGCTGGTCCCACCCAGTGTGATTTTCAAGCTGCCAGGTCTAGGACTTGAACCACAATCCACCATGTGGGGGTGCAGTACTTTAACTATTACATCACCTGTTGGCCTCTATACAGTCATATTTTAAAAATAACATTTTAGAAGTCTTCTCTAGACTCTTTAGGCAAATAGTACTAAACTACAGAATATCTATTGGGTATGAGTCTGTACATATGTACAGTAGCTAAGTACTGTTTAATAGAGAGAGAAGTTTTGTACATTTGTCAAAAATTTTCTATAGTAACCAATCAAAAAAACTACTCAACACAGGTCTTCAATTATGGACAAGGTGGGGCCAGCAGGAGGTATAACGGTTTAGGCACTAGACTCCCATATAGCTGTCCACAATTGGAGTCCCAGACCCACTGGGTCTGGAACTCACAATGAGTGTGTGTGCTCAAAATCCAGGAGGAGAAGGGATTGTAGCGTGACCATCTACCCTGGGGGGTGACTTCTCACTCCCTCTCTGTCTCTAATTCGTTACTCTCTAGTCAAATTAAAATAATACTAATACTAATGCACCCTATGGCAAAAACCTAAAAAAAAGAACAGTACAATTTAAATGTTAAAGAAAACATAAATAGTGTAGTTATTCCATTGTGGTGTAATATCTATTCTATTAAAAATAATTTTATAAATTAGTGCTAATTCTATTAAAAAGTCTTAATATTTAAATTAAAATGTTTATTAGTTATTTAAAGACATACTCTCAAGATGATCTCTGATATCTACATATTTCTTGAATTTGTGCTATGAGGTTATCAACAGACAAAAAGTAGAATTTTATCTGTAAAAAAAGAAGGAATTGATAAATAAGTAGGCCTTTCTTCATGGAGACCTTGAGACTTTGTTATGCTGGCTAGGGAAACAAATGTCCCAGATGGCCGCATCCGTTCTTGACTTACAGACAGTAACAAATGGGAGGTCTGGGTATCAGGATTTAATGGAACAATGAAACAATCTGCTCTGAGTGTTTAGGCACGATGGATCTTTTCAAAGAAATTAGGCAAGTTTTACTAGATCATGGTTACTGATAATTATGGTTAACCATGGGAAAATCATACCAAATACAAAAAGTAAAATCCTTTTAGCTGCAAAAGAAAAAATGTTAGGGCCAGCCGTTGGCATGGTAGTTAAGATGGCTGGATCCCACAGGGCCAACTGCATGGTTCAAGCCCCAGAACTACTGGCTTGAAAATATCTTGGGTGGGGGCAGCAGACGGTATGTTACTGATAATTATGGTTAACCATGGGAAAATCATACCAAATACAAAAAGTAAAATCCTTTTAGCTGCAAAAGAAAAAATGTTAGGGCCAGCCGTTGGCATGGTAGTTAAGATGGCTGGATCCCACAGGGCCAACTGCATGGTTCAAGCCCCAGAACTACTGGCTTGAAAATATCTTGGGTGGGGGCAGCAGACGGTATGTGTTTGAGGCACTGGACTCCCATGTGGCTGACCATAGTTTGAGTCCTAGACTTGGTGGCTTAATAATAAAATTAAATAAATAATTCTAAAGCAAAAAAGAAAGAAAAACATGCTGGGAACTGTGTCTGCATGTCCAACATCCTAGGAGGAGAATGGTGAAGTGATTGTGGCACAGCCATCGCCCTCAGGGATGATTTCTTACTTTCCCTCTCTGTCTGTGTCTCTTACTATCTCCAGTGCAAGCATGACAAATTAAAAGAATAACAAACAAACAAAAAAGCAATTCTATTCTTCTTTTTACTTTTTTTTTTTTTTAAAGAGGTTTTTGCTATAGGGTGCATGTGTTCACCGGAAAGACAGAAAAACAGAGAGACAGAAAGCGAGAAATCACCCCTCAGGGGGGATGGCCACACCACAGTCCCTTCTCCTCCA